TCATTATTAGAATAGCAAAATTTATAACTCACATTACACCGAAACAGTGTCTAATAAATGTGTTCATGAAAACTGATATCACATTTGAGTCTATGAGTTTTAATATATCAGAAAATATTGTGACTCATATATGAATTACTCACAGATAAAGGGTTAAAAATACGGTTCTTCTTCAGATTGACAATGCCCTGCAAAGTAGTTTGATTGCTCTAAACGAAATCTTGTTTTACTTTCTAAATATTTCTAATATAAGAATGATCATTTAATTTGGTTTTTTTATAATTTAGTTTTATTTCGATTAATATGATAAATTAACGTTAATGGACGCTTGAAAATAGTTGAACTTTTGAATTTTTTTTGTAAATATTGCTAATATATGATAGGTTATTAATGAAAGCGTCAAATGAGTACATACGAAGTTTACAAAGGGTGTGGGAGAAGAAGAAGGGATAATTCTAACGTGAATTCACCCTTGTTTTTTCTCATTGATATATTTTTTGTATTTATTTGTTTGTGCTTTTCAATAAACTTATCATATAATATCTGCGTTACATGAATTATCCTAATTTCTGAAGAACCAACATGATTAATGCCAAAATTGTCTGTTTTTATATACTTAAACCTTATCAAATGTACTGACGAAAGAATTTCAGTTCCTTATAAAAGTCTAAGAGAAACTTTCTTTTTATATGGCTTGAGACTTTATTATTCATCAACTAATATGATAATAATAAAATTTTAATGAGATCTGTTTATTTTAGTATGTGACGATACTATTAGATCACACTTTATCTTCAATAAGTAATCTCTTTCTTTTTCTAATGCCCAGTTGTCTATACCTATAAAACGACACAAAAATCGATGTTGGTAAAACAAAAACATAAAAACAGGTTCATCAAGTCTTTATTTCGTTAAATATTCAAAATAATTGTCCTGGTCATTCATACTCAATTGCATTCGTGGAATTCACTTATCGAACATTTTATATATTCTTCTTTATAAAAAGAATTCATAAACTCGTTTACAATACGAAGCAACGATTTGGAATCGTTTCGATCGCTTAGATTTTGTTTGATTAAGTTGAACAACTACAAAATCACATACTATCAGATCCAGAGAATCGATTAAATATTGATTTGATGAACTTCTTACTATATTTCTTTTTTGTTCTACCAACGCAACTTTTTTTATAGCCTAGCATATATATTGGTGGCTAGGTATTAGAGAAGATACAAAAAAAGACAGAAGAAGAACAAAGAGGACACACATCAAAGACAAAATATAATCTAAGAAAATAAAACAACTTAGTTGTTTGCAGTGTTAAACATAAAATATAAGTTATCCAATTTTCATCCAAACACAAAATCACTTCATTGTAAAAGAAGAATAGTTATGAGTATTTGTCCAGGTTAAGAAATCTCTCTTTACGATCTTGTATGACTTTACATTCCAATATTAAAGTCACGATTCTTGTAGGATTTGTTAAAAGTTTCCACAACGTTGCATATCTGATTTTCATCTTTTATCATGTTGTTTTTTTTTAGGAACTTTTATATCTTTATTTGAATATATATGTGCTGTAAAAAAACATTTTATTGAATTTAATCGTTAAAATGAAAAATCGATAATTTTACAATGTAAAAAAGAACTTCTTGTGTTGAATTAACTGTTAAAATCATCTAAAATGAAAAAATAAATAATTTAACTAAAAGATCTAAATGGATTATTGGTAGGATACACATATTTCAGTGGTTGTTTATCAAAAATAAAATTCATTTCAATATCACTCAACTTATATTAATCAATAATGTTGTTATCAAATGCAAGGTATTGAGTACAATATTGGAAATTCTTTTCAATTGTTAGTTTCTTCAATGACATTCGATTATAGTTATAAATCAAACTGTTTTACGACGATGAAGAAGAATATTTAAACAAAATAATAATTGGAATGTATTGTTTAAGCTAACAATATATTGAAATCAATAATTCATTTGGCATATCTACTAGTCACATATCAATTTATTATATTCAGTATTTCAATTGTGTTTTCTTTGCTGAAATAAATAAATATTAAATAGAATCCTATTGGTGAGCATTTTACATCTACCCTTAAAATATCCATCAAAGAATGATTCACATTCTTTATTTTTGTTGTAGATTGATGAAACTATTTGAAAAGTATCAAATTAGTATCATATTTGCTAATTCCATAGTAATTCCAAAGTTTTTCTTTTAACTGAAAAAATACATGCTTGAATAGAATACTAATGGAAATTACTAATATATTCATCAATTATATAATAATGACATATTCGAGGACAGCTAGCAGCTATTTCAATCTTGAAGTATGAAAGTTAGTTACTTATTTCTAAACTTTAATTGAATAATTGAACAAAATCTAAATTTGTTCTTTGAAATGAATAAAATAGTTGAATAGAATCCTGATTACATTTATTTATTATCAGTCTATCCATCAATTTGTTTTCTCAAACGAGCAAGTTACTTGAACAACTTTATAATGTAACGATTTTTCAATAGAAGAAGTACTGACAGAGATAAAAAATAACACTTTATTCAGCTTCCTAAGATACAAAGAAGAAAAGTCATAAAAGTTTATATCAGAGAAATAAAATCGTTAAGCTAAGAAGAAAAAAATTATGAGAAATAGAGTGGCAATCAACAACAACTAGTCATAGATGTCAAAGGGTTTGCAAAAGTCGTCGATAATAGTAGTCAATATTGTAGTTAGATTGATACATTTCAGAAAGGTTGCATATGGCATACCAGCAATACTGAAGGGATACGTCGACAACAATAATTGATAACGAAAGAAAAAAGTAACAGTTTAACACGAGAGTCAGTACGAGATAAAGTTGATAGTCAACGGTTGTGTTTGTAATTTGTCACACATTTATGTGGTCGATTGGTCGACAGACCGTTTATTTGAGCTGTCATTGATCAGTAACTTTGTAGTATAAATGATAGAAGTATTGTCGAAGAAAGATAGATACAAATTGTGACGTTGGATATCTATTGATATACGCGATGCAGATGAAAACATGGAAGTGAAAAGGCTAATCACCAGATAGTAGATGAAGAAGACTTCCAAAGCATTTCTCTCAGATTTAAGATTCAGATTTCGATATATTATGGTTTGAGTTCTCATTGTTGAAAACACATGACGATACAAGAAAGATATTTTGGTTCAATATTGAAATGATTGACTATAAACAGAGAGATGCAAGAGTTCGTTATCTTGGATCGCCACATGTGATGATTTTTTATTAAAAGAAGTACTAACGAAGATGAAGCTACGCTTTATTCAGCTTTCTCACATAATTAATAGCATCGTTTACACAAAGAACATACGTTTACATACGCAATTAAGAGAGAGGAGAGACATATCAGCGTAAATTACACATAATTCTATAGAATATTCATTTACCATATGATGTTCATTTAGAGAACGCCTCACCTGAGATAATATACATTCCTAATAAAATCTTTCCATTCAGAACCAAAGAAAAAAATATATATATATACAATTTCCAAACTCGTCCTTCTACGCTAGTCTGTTTACATTTGTCTTTATCTTGAATTTCGTTTGAAAGAATACACAGATGATTGTTTGACTGGTATCAATTGTAGAGAACGTGCGAAGAAAAAGCATACTATTAAATGTTATGTTCTTGCGTACTGTTGCTGATGTTTTTTTTTTCAATGAAGTAAATGCCAGATAATCATTCAATTAATAAAGTATGTTATTGAAGTCTCTTCAGAACTTAGTTTGAGACTAATTCTAATAGCTCGTTATCTATAACTATTACGCTATAGAAAAATGATGTTGATAAAACAAAAAATAACATACGCAAACAAGTTCATCAAGTCTTTATTTCATTAAATATTCTAAATAATTGTCCTAGTGATTCATACACAATTGCTATTATTGCATTTATTTATTGAATATTTTTTTATATTTCTATTTATTCAAAGAATATATGAAGCCTGTTTCGATTGCTAAGTTTTTGTTTGATTAAATCGAATAAGTAAGAAACTTGATAACTTCATTTTTGTATTTCTCTTTTTATTCTACTGATATCATTTTATGAAAACCGTAATCTGCGTAGGCAGCTAAGTATTAGAAGAGACGAGCACAACGAGAGAGAAGAACAACAAAGAGATTACGCATCGAAGACAAAATGTAATCTAATATTACCGTCACATATCGTAGCAAACAGTTCGTATTGAAATTTCATTATTATAGTATTAGTTGAAGAATGGTAAAATCTCAGAGAAATGTAGAGTATTGTTTTTATTCTCATACAGAGAATTAAAATATTTCCGCTAGCACTTATAATGTGCCCTAAGTATATAAAAACAGATAATTCATATCATGTAAATATTATAGGATAAGTTTATTGAATGTCATAAATGAATAAATAAATACAGTAAAATAGCAACAATAACGTACAGAAAAATATATAAATAAAAAAAAGAAAGGTAGATGTGATTGAGGGTTTTTCCGTTACCTTCACTTATCCACATCTTTGCATACAGAGTTGATAATTTTTGTACGACACCAAATTTTGTTTGCAGTAGTTCAAATATTGTTTTGTCTTCTACAAAACAAGCACCTAGTGAGTTTAGTTGCGTCATCGTTGATTTTGTATTTACATGTTGAAAACTTTCATTAGTGGTCAATTATACTTTTTAAAATACTTAAGACAATATAATTAAGAAAATTCAACAAAGTTTCAAGCTTCTATCAACGTTAGTTTATCACATCAAGACAAATATAGATAAATAAAAACATGAAAGTTAAATAATCATTCTCACATGAACAATATTTAGAAGCAAAACAAGGCTTTGTTCAGAACAATAATATGACTACATATATTCTTTTTGGTTTTTTTTTTCTTTTATGCATATTAGAAAAAAAAAACCTATCACAATAAAACAATACATATACCAAAAACATATAGAAACGAATTCTTTTATCACCAATGTGCTTTATGTAAATAAGCAACTCGTCTAAGAAAATCAGCATGACTTGCAAATAATGGCAATTCAGGATCAAGATCGTGCCAAAAAGCATGTGTTGCGTCATCACCAGCTTGAACATTGATTAATGCAAGATTTTCATTATCTTCATCGTGAAAATTATATGCTAGAAAAATAAAGCAAAGAAATTTTCATATAAAATCGATATGTTAAACGAGTTTTCATCGTTGAACCCAAACTGACATGAACAGGATGTAGATTTGGATTTTCTATTCATCCACACAGACAAAACCTATAGATGGAAGTCAATGCATTGATTGGAACGGTGGTGATCGCTGAAATTCTTCGATGAATTTTTTAAACAAATATTCTTAATTTCGAGAGATTTTAAAATGAAAAAGAGACAAAACAATGATAGAGAGCCTATTGACAAGAAACTAGAGGATAACATCTTCAAAAACCGATTTAGGATGTCAGAAATTTTCCAAAAAGCAAACATCGATTTTAGTGTCACGGAGACGACGGTGCGGCTGAATCACTTGATTCTTAGCATCTCAGTTGGCCAGCTTACACCTCTAATCGTACTCATATCTCAAAGTCATGTTGAGTTTGTTTTGTTTTTTTCAGTATTTTTACCTGTTGTTTCCATCCAACAGTTATCAGTATTTCTAAATAAACCAATGAAAGTTAATAATAAATAACTATTATTTCTATTCTTTACCTTGGATCATCGACATAACCACAATAGATTCTTGTACCACCATTTTCAAAAATATGTTTTATTGTTTTTATTAGTTTTTCTTTA